GATGTTAAAGGAGAAGGAAGTCAGTGCGTCTTTTCAATCATTTCCTTCCTCTCTCAATCTCTTGTCTTTTAGCTTCCTATGGTATGGTAGATAGCAGCGCACACACACATCCTCACTAAACCTATTCAGCTTCCCTTTTCTCCAGTTTTATTATGTAATTAAAAGATACCAACTGTCCTGGGTTCGTAATATTGATCAATGTCCACTTATGCAGGCAGCAGAAGATCATGAGGAGGAACAGGACCTTAAAACATTTAACCACTGACCTCTTTAGCCACAGTGCAGCTGAAAGTGGACCCGTGGCCCGAGGCGGCGTTGTTTACTATATATGTATATATATGTATATATGTATATGTATATATGTGTGTATGTATGTATGTATGAATGTATGTATGTGTATATATATGTATATGTATATATGTGTATATGTATATATTTATTTATTTTAGTGTATACATATGTTTCCCCTTTACAAACAGTCGAGGATGCGTGTGTAGAAAACAAGGTGCCACAATGTCAATACCTTATTTATGGACATTTTTCAGGATTTAGAAATAAAACAACTTATTTGAAAAATAAAATTTTTGTTTGCATTTATAAGTGACACTAATCCTTACTTTTCTACCACATTCTTGTGAGTATTGTTTCCCTCAAAAAAAACTAAAAGAAACACACAACAAGCAGCTCGGGTTAAAAGGTAAATCCCATCTCACACAAGTAAGGTTAGATCTTATTAAAAAGTGTTAACATTTAAAAAAAATAATGGCAGCATAAAACAATAACTTAAGCATTAAAAAAGTAACGTTAGCATTAACAAAGTAATGTTGGCATTTTTTATTTTTAAATGTATGCAAGCAAGAGCACAGAAGCCCGCCATTCTAAATATTTTACTAATACTGACTATTTATGAATGACAACAAATTAAAAATGAAACTTAAGTATAACAGTGTATCATTTATAAAACATGAAAGAATAACTGGTGCTGAATGATTTTTTTGACTATTGAGCCTTGACAGATATTTACACAATTTTATTTTCATATTCATCTATTAAGCAACTTGGACCACTACAGCCTCTAAACCATGCTGTACAGGAGACAAACCACTTCCTACCCGTGGGACTGGCAGTACGGCAGGGATATGAAATACACACACCTGGATTGGAGTTGCAATAATATTTATTGTGGTATTTTCGCAGAGCATTGTATTTGACAGCGATGTGAGAATCACAGAATATAAACAGACTATTGTAACTGTCACACTACGCAAATCCATATTTTAATGGTGGATGGATGGGTTGACGTGCTAAAAGCATCCATGACGGATTCAACGTGACAGAATGTGATGTGAAAGGAGAATGAGAGAGGAAGTGACATGATGGCTGTAACTTGTCTGGCAGTGTTCTGCTGCAGGTAACTGAGCCAGTGAGCTGAGACTCCCTGCCTGGGCACGTTGGCCGCTGTTACACAATTTCAAAACTGGTTGTTGACATCCTGAGAGCACAAACCTTCACCGGCACCCAGCAAGTCTCCAGCCTGCCCCCGCAGCACGTCATTTTGTATAAAAAAATAATTAAACGTCCCCCACATTTGATCTTCCAACAGAAATGCCGTGTGATTTCAACCCTTTTTAAAAAGCTTACAGCACAACATATTGGTAAAGAGTAATCGATGATCAGTCACAGCCTGTAGAGAACCGGTTTAAGTAGCTGGGTTGGCCAGCATCTCACGTTTACTCACACATACTGGACTGTGCCGAGGCCTTTACAAGGCTACCTCTGTGCGCCTGCAAAAAAGCTGTTGGAATGTAGCTGGGTGTGTTTGTTTTCCTTGAAAACGCACGTGTACGCACACACACACACAAAGGCAGGGGAAGCTGATTGATAAGAACCACAAAGTGGAGCTTTGTGTGGAAGAAATGACACCAGGTGTGTGTGTGTGTGTGTGTGTGTGTGTGTGTGTGTGTGTGTGTGTG